TCGGTTCTGGTGAGGCGCCACTTTTGTACTTCGAATTAGCCCCCTTGTACCTCGCTGGGTGGGCTGGCCTTTTGGGCCATGCCAATAGCCCGGACACCTTCTCCGTGCTGAATATATATACTCTGCCCGAGTATTTTGTCTTCTTTCGTCTTCAGGGAGTCTCGGGACGCTACATATCACTCCAGTCTTCTGTGAGTAAATAACTGGTACTGTTTTTTGTGCTCATTTTGTCACTACTGCAGAGCGGATCTGAGTACCATGGGTGTCTACTCAGTTAAGATGTTAACATAGTAGCTACGCTTTAAGTCTTAAGAGTGGAGTTAAACAAACACGTTACAACTGTAATACTCATGCTGTTTTAATTTCCCTTTCTGAGGAGGGGCGGACATGCGAGTCAAACTCATGACTGAGGTGTCAACGTCCTGCAACTCTGACAGCTGTTCCGTGTTCACACCACCCTAAACTCTGTACCTGCCTACCCCATTTACTGATCCCAAGAAACATGTCAAAGCCAAAACAACTTGGGTGTTATAAGATTATGAGGACTAAAAAAGGAGATCTACGAGCCTCGTCCTACAAAACAGTGCATTAAGAATGCAAAATCACTTTTAGTATTTATGAGCTAGATAGGTACTAAAAATCAAGTTAAGTTGATAGCCAAGTGAATTTTTAATAATTCCGAATCACTTGTGGTCAGTGTTTTTAGATAATTACCACAATTTTCACAAAATTATGGCATGCAGTCAACGTCCCGTGTCTTTCTCCTGGATATAAGAAGTCAGATATTCTGCTGACGCACAGAAGAACCAAAGCTGTTGGTATTGCTTAAAAGCCAGGCCATTTAGCAAATACAGAGTCTGTGAAAGCCTAATGAGCCACGAAATTCATGGTCAAGAAGATACTAACCACCAAAATATTGCAGTCGAGCTCACTAAGTTTCATTATGTTCTTTTAAACCTCCGGTCCCCAACATTTGCTTGCTTTTATGCAAGTTTGTTGCTACATTTAATTTTTTGCCTAAATGCATTTGCTTTAGTCTTTTCTATTAACTATTTTTTACCCATTTCTTCCCTATTTCACCTTTTTCTCAAGGTCATGGGCTCACATTCTACTTAATGGTTTTGCCGATTTCAGCCTGGGTTTGGTTGGGTAATTATTCATGCCGTTCGCTTTAAGCTATGAATTTCACATATTTTCCTTCCCTCATTGTTTGATGTTTTGCATGTGGGAGTTCGCTATTATGTTTCCGCTCTCGGCTGGTCAGAACTCTGCATGCGTTTGCGTGTGAAAATGCACGATTGCCTATAGTTGCGGATTTCTTTTTAATCATTCTTTCGCACCTTTCATAAATTACAAAATGATCGTTGTTGCGCCATCTATCGACATCATGAATTGCGTTTTTTAGCTTGTTGACGAACAGGATGCATTTGTTATGCTCTAAATCAAATCCAGAGTTCAAGTCTTGTAAGTAGCCCCTGCACTTGCTTTTGAGCAACATTAAGTAACCATACCGCTCACTGATTCTCCTGTTATTCCTTTCTTAACAGAATTTGGAATTGGTTTTGCGCTTTGATCTTGGATTTTTTTGTCAATGTTGCACCATTTTAAGCGAAATCTCACTAACCCCATTTTTAAGTTTTGCCGCGCATAGATGACGTCCTAGCTTATAGTTTGTTCAGGCATAGCTTTTAATGCGGTTACTAAAAGGGGTGGTTTTACTTTTCCTTTCTACTACACCTTGCCTCCATTTTTTTTGGCTAAGGCAGCTGTTTACTAACAACATTCCTGTGAATATTCTTATCATCTGAGTTTTTTATTCGATGTGTAGCAGGTACCGCTAATCCAGCCTATCTTGCTTTCATAGGTGTCATTAGTTCTGATAATTAATGGATTTTTTTTAAACTCGAACACTTGAAATTCCTCGATGAGGTGGATCCTTAATTCTGTTATAATTTTCTTAAAATTTCTACAAAGCGTATAATGACATTGCATCAATGTTTTGAAATTGTCATCATATTATTTGGCTCTCGATGTATTTATTTTGCTGCTGAATCCTTTTTAGTTACTTTATTATGAGGTGTTGTCGGGTTTGAACGAAATTGGAATTGCAACGCTACGATTTATCCAAATATTAGCACTGGAATCCGTCTTTCTTTTGGTTGTCTTTTCACGGTTGTCATTATACCATTTGGCCAACCATAGTAATAACAGCGATCAATTTAGACAAAGAAAAGAATTTCCAGGCACGACTGGTATTTATCTGATTTTTTTTCGCTGAAATGCGGCTTTCTGACATTGCAGTTCTTTAAGTCTATAATGCGTGGTTTGTCTTAATTTCCCCAAAATTATTCCTTCTCATTCAGTAATAGTGATTTTTATCGCGCCTTCGCACTACTCGCGTTGTTTTTTTTTCCTGTTTGGACTCTTCGGATGTACCTATCTTGGTGTAGATTTGGATTTTATCGCTTCAACAATAAAGGAATTTTTGGTTGTTTCAATATTTGTTCTTGCTAAATAGCTATAAATTTCTTTGAACACTGGCAATACAGTAGTAACGTTAGATGAAGAAACAATGACCGGTTACATCGCTGTAGTTACGCAAAATTTGCAGAGGAGATGAATCGTAACTTCACCAATGCTATTAATTCTCTAAAGAAAATCAAGTTTTGACTACATTCGCCTTCCTGTTTACTTAACCGGTTATCAGGATTGGGCGCGATTGTAAGTTAAACACAAGTGCTCTTTTATATTTGCTATAGTCTTCTGTTTGTATAGTTTTTCTTTAACTGATTTTACCTTGCCTTACCAATTGCTCTTTGAACTACTCAATGATTAGTGACTAGGTAGTTGCATATTAGTCGTCCTTGAAGCTTACGCCCCCATCCTGAACCACAGTAGATGCGTCGATCCCTGGAGCTTGTCCGTCCCCTCGCCTACTACCACAATCGTATCCTCCATCGCTGTTTTGCCGAACAGAAGGCCTCGTCCACCGACCCCTTTGACGGCTACACACGCTCTTGCTACGTTAAACAAAAGTTCGTGGAGTTGCAGACCACTGCTGCCGATGGCAGCGTCAAAGTGCGCAAGGTGCCTACTGGCCTCATTGACAACTCAAACGAGTGGCTTGGCGATCAGATGGTGCGGACGCACTTGAAAATAACCCACGACTTCGACCTCACTATTCAGGGCTTTGCGGAGCGTGCGCGCAAACGTCTGCTAGCGAGAAATAAACAGAGACAGGTGTACGTTCCTCTGACAGGCTAGTGATGGGCTGACTGGAAGGGAATTTTCTACGCATCTGAGAGAACTGTGCCATGTTTTTCTTCTGACTGCAGACAAAAGTTTGAAATGCAGTTTATCTTTAAATAGTGAAACTGAAAGTCGCTATTTTCTCAGCAATGCGAATTCTGTAAACTTGGTGTCACAGTGCATTGCCTGTTTTGTGGTGTGCTCCGTTTACTTCCCCAAATTATTCGTGAACTGGTGAATAACTCGTTCAACAAATGGAATTAGATGCTCCTTGTCCTACCTTAAATGTGTGATACCAATGCGTAGTGATTGTTGGTCTCTTAAGTGGAACTCCACTTTATTGAATCCTCATTAAGTTATGAGGATTTAGATGCCCTACTCCTTTATGTTGAATAGCATCACAGATGGAATGATCCAACATCGGGGCAGCCTAGACCTGGCTGTCGCGCACATGGTCTGTAACCTCGGTGGTCGGGTGCAATTCGTCGGTGAACCGGCAGGCTGCTGGCACCAAAGCTACAACAGGGCCCCTCCCAACCTTCCTTCAACCTACTCAGAGGATCTTAAACTTGAGGTCATTGACTTATCCGGTACCGCAGTCATGTACGAGGGTCTGCAGATGCTTCGTGAGTTTCGAAAGACTTTCAGACTCTTTAATGCACTACTTGAAGTATATCGACAGGAGCTTGTGCTTGTCTCCTTTAGCTCGCTTGACGCACCTGAAGGTGTTACGGCTACGACGATGTCTCTATTTGAATGATCACTGTTTATCCCTGGTCGGACAGATTACCCAATCACCACTGGAGTATCTTGACATAAGCGAGTGTCCACGAATCTCCGCCAATGGAATCACCACCCTTACGGAGCTCAAGTAAGCTAATACTGTGACACTAAAGGGCGGTTTGCTTTCTGTTTGGCGTAATTAGTGTGAAGACTTAAACGTAGTTGTGTGAAATCAGCACCAATTTGTTGTCTATTTGGGTCATTAACAGGAGCCTTAGACGACTTTTGGTTCAAGGCAATCCAACCTTGAAGGATCGAGAGCTAGTGTGCCTGCTGTTGGAGGACTACCTGCCGAAAGTCTACATTGAGGGTGTGGATTACCTGGGCAACCTTCCAGAGGACGCTAGGCAGCGGGTGTTGGCTCTGGACCCGCCGGAAGAGCCACCACTTCTAACCGAGCACGTGAAAAATATCGAGAGGGAAGAAGAGGAGGACGCATTACGTGTCACTTCCAAGTGATCTGTTATCTAATGTAATGTATGTAGATAATACAATATACCTTCCACAAACTTGCCCTCTCGCGTGGAGCATCAGCAGGGAAGTGTTGCCTAGGTAATCGTAACCTTGGCCCATTTTGATTTATGGGCGACGAGACTGTCATATTTCACTTATCTTGCTACTAGAAGATGGATTTATATAACAAGGCGTAGTGGAATGAGGTTGATCTGGGTCTGTCGGCTGTCCTGACGTGTCTGATGGATAAGACTTCAGAAACCTTTTTAAATCTTCATAAATCTCATTTGTTGCCACACAGTAAAGACTCTCCGACGAATAATCATGTTGGACTGCTTCCTATAGCAATGTTTGCCTCATATTTATACTTATTTCAAAAATGTTTTAATCTATCACCATCGATGGCGCGCCTTTGAACGGTGGTCTCTAGGCTAGGGCAACCACCCGTAATCTAAGCTACTTTACCTGAATTCATCTTGGTAATTTGACTTCTACCCCAAATTTTAACCTTAATGAAGGTAGAGGATTTTGCCGGCAAAATTCTTGCTGTAAAAGAGGAGTTTTTGCGTATCGCCGAGTTGGTGCATGACGACGTTCAATCTGTTTCACAATTTTTCGATTCGTTTTTTGTTGAGTCTGTCCTATCACTTAATCCTCCTTCCGGTAGCAAACCCGATTTAACCGAGAAGACCGGGGAATCTTCAGCACACAGAAGTGAGCCCAATCGAGGCAAACCCATGTCAGAAATTGCGGATTCGGATCCCGTTGAAGACAATGAGGAGACTCTGGTTCAACTTATTAATGAGATGAGCGTAGATGAACTCAAATTCTTAAAGAACCAGCTCCTTTTAGAATTGGATTGGCTTGATCAAGCCATCACCAGCAGGAAGCAATTTCTTCGCTCTGTATTTAAGTAAATTTCGTACATTGCTTGTATCCTCATTTCCCGAATTCCAAGGGAGAAAGTTGCATTAATGAGTGTAGTAGGGTCTGCTCACTGAAGTTACATGTACACCTGTACCCTCACAGGCATTCCGAATTTTATGCCCCGCCCATCAGCGATGCCAATTAGCTAAAGCTACGTCTGGGGTGTCCCTTCTCCCGTATTGTGCAATCCCAATCCAGCTCGTCTTGCCGACTATTTTGCAGTTATCGGTAGGAGAGAGAACAGTCTCAAGCTCATGCGTACGTAAGGAGCGTGACTAATCTATGGCTGTGGTGACCGATTCCCATAATCCAGTGGGCAAATTGAATGCTCGAAAGAAACCGATGCGGGCTTTGCCTTGGTGGAACCATCGGGCAAAAAACCCGGAATCAAGACCCGGCGACCTTTCATCTCCCCCAATCTATCAACGTGCACCTGCTCTACCACCACAGCTCCAGCCGGCCCCAAGGAGGCAACCGAATTCCACACTATTCGCATTGAAACACTTTAGCAATCCCTAACCTTTTGTCCAATTCGGACCCAGACAAGCTAACTACCAAAAAATGACCGATTAACTTATTCTAATACAAACCTTCGAGACCATTGTTCACTCCGCAATCTATGCTGCCGATCCAGGATGACCACACAGCTTTCCGTCCCCAGGCCGGTCTTACAAAAATGAAAAGCCTACACGCAACCACCCAAAATTTCCTAGATAACGAAACTTAGACCATTAAATGGTAAACAATGAGACTGGGATCATAGTTTTCTGCTAATAACTTATAAAGGAATAACTTCTCAAATTCAAAGGTGGTGCAAGTACTAACTTCGTATATCTCAGGGAGCAGGAATGGATTTCCGAGTAATGGTTAGTGCTTTCAAGAATCATTGCAAACGGAGAGGCCTGAAGACAGTGGGTTTGGGTCGCTCAGTGTCCCAACCCAAATGGTACATTTAAAAAACTGGCGGTGGGGAATCCACCTTAAAAAATCCTAGTAAATACCACATTATTTGAGAAGGTGCTAGACTCAGGAAACGTGTGCTCTCAGGTGATTTCTGGTAAATAAACGCACTAGGCGCAGTTGGACCTTAGCGAATAAGCGATAGGGGGTAACAGGGATGCTGTACGCATTAGCTAGTAATAAAAAAACCAAGTAACCTCTCGGAATCGTAAGCAGTGAAGTTCAGTACCAGCACAGTGTATTGAAAAGGGGATTTACAACGACAAAATAGCGTCTATTTACGTACTGCCTCCTTCAATCTTGACTTCGGCACGAACCATTGGATCCAAGTCGCAGAGCGTCAATCGTTGAATAGTTTCAGATGTTGTGTAAATATCCAGAACACGTTTGTGAATGCGCATTTGGTAGCGATCCCACGTTTTAGAACCCTCACCACATGGAGTCTTACGGGTGGTAATTCTGAGAGTCTAAAACGAAATAGGGAAGGCAAATAACCCTACTTTAGTCGGAAGACGGACAGGTCCCTTGAGCTTAAGGTTCATATCCTCAACCCGCGCTTTTACATCTTCAGCAACCTTTTCCAAGGGCTTCACAGCCACGGATGTCAGAGTGATGCGAACCCAGTAACGCTGCGTATCCTGTAAGTCCTGCTTCTTTTCTGCCATCACACTTCAGACAAAGTAGCATAAAACTCACGTTTCGGACAAAAGTACCGCCGCAGACATTTCATCGCAAACAAAAATCAATGACAATAAATAATTGAGAAACACACCAATGATAGAGTGCACTAGCTTAAAAAAGCTTTGAATTTTTAAATAAAACGGATTTAGTAGATAGTGAGTCCTAAAGCACATACTACCAGATTAAAGGAGTAGGTTAAGAATGCACAATTTAAATTCGGATTAATCGGATTTGGCTAGATAAAGGTTATTTTGCGTTTTGGAGTGCAAACTAAAAGAGTGGTATGTGTAATATGTCTTATTAGTCTGCCCTGGAGGTTAGGTGGAGTGTGGAATGAGTATCACTTTTTTATAACAAATGCTCTTTGCATTCTGTTTGTAGCATTTCGTATGTCGTGATTAGCTTTTACTTGTTTTAACTAATGGCTGTAATTGCAGGAGTTGGCTCCTTTTCAAAGGTGTGCGAAATTTGAGAAATTGTACTTGAAGAAAATTTCTCCTTAACAAAAATGCAGCTGTCCCTGACGAACGATGATCTTGATGCGCAGTTCTTATATGGAAACTTACACAGAGGAAAATACCAAAGGCGGACAAAAAATAGGTCTTTATTGCCTCTTTCTTAAAACCTTTATGCTATTTTAGGATTTTCGTAAACAGGAGTCTTCGACTTGATAGGATTCGATTTTTTGGCTTTGATATGGACTATACCCTAGCTTGTAGGCTATCTACTACATTTATAACTTTAGCTTACAAATCCCCTCAATACGAGGAACTTGCCTTCAAGATATTGCGCGACAGATTAATTGAATTTGGTTATCCACAAGAACTGAGCCAGTTTGAATATGAACCATCATTTCCTGTTCGGTAAAGCGCCTTTTTTTGAATTTTACGTTTTTGATGCCTAGTGGTTTGTGGTTTGATCAACAATACGGAACACTGATGAAAATTGACCAATTCGGCAACATATTGATGTGTCTTGTCGGGTTCAAAGTGCTTTCTAGGTAAGACGTTTTTCTGTTTAATGCTTCTAGTGAACAGATTGGTGAATTATATCCAAACCGTTTTATAAAATATGAAAAGGATCGGATACGTGTGATGTCAACACTGTTCGATTTACCAGGTTGGTTAAACCTATGTTTTGCATTTTTTCCTAGAAATTTACCTACTGGCTTGTATAATTCATTACATGCACAGCAACGATGCGTACATCAAAGAACTAAATGGTGTAAAGTATCAGTCGCTCTACATATCCTACAAGTCAGTCCTGCAAGACGTGGAAGAAGCTATGTCTTGGATGCATATGGTATTAGCGAAATGCCACTCATTAATAATACGTTCTATGTTTTTTTACCTTATAATAGTGTTTTCAACTGCAAAATTGCGTTGTTTTTTTTTCTAGGGTGAGCTGAAAAAGCAGACGATGGCAAATATTGGGAAGTATATTGAACAGAATCCCAAATTACTTGTCCTGCTTGATAAGTTAGTAACTTTTGTCTTTTAAATGTATTTATTTTGTTGCATTTGACATCGATAATCAGGCTTGGTTTTATGCTACTGTTAAGCTTGTATACATATGTTATCACATATAATTGGCTTCAAAAGAAATCAGTGACCTTTCTTTTATAAAAGACATCAAAATACCAGCTTTGACGCAATCATTTTTCAACTTTTTGTACATATCCTAACGCATTGTGGTCAGTGCCTGGATTTTTTCTTTTAGTAGATATAAATGCTCTAGACTCCCTAATAGTTGGTTTCTAAAGTTTTTGATGTGTACATTTACTGTTTGGGTATCTCATTTCCATTCATGGTAGTCACATTGCGTTATTGTCGCGCTGAGAATGATTCCCAAAGCCGTCCAGATTTCACATTAATTTTTTATTTTATTCTGTCCATTTTTGACTTAAAACAAATATGTTGCCTAAGATTCAGACATCTTTTTTGCTTTATCGAAATAGTGCAGCGTACTTGCATCCTTAGTGGTGAACCTCGAAATGATAAGCCATTAGGACCACACATTTCAGAATATCTATCTTACTACAGACTTCGTACGGACAGGACAAATGTTTTTCTCCTAACAAACAGCGACTATGAATACTCGGATGTAGGTTAAATTTTTTTTGCGATTGGCTTAATTTTATGTGTATATTTTACGAATAAAATAATCTACATTCAGTTTATCACTATTAAGTTCTGGGGTACTAAACTGCATTCATAATTGTAAAGCCTAGATGAAACCCCTATTAACCCGCTTAAGAATTTTAAAAAACTCTTGCTTGAAACCTATGTTTTTTAATATTCTGCTTGTTACACAAACCACTTGGGTATTTATGTTAAAGTTCTTTTCATCAAAAAATAGTTAATGGCCTATCAAAAATAGTTATGCGTTCTTTGATGGAAAAACCAGAATTTTATTACCAAACTTGCTTTAATGTTGTAAAGTCATGCTTGTTAACACTTGGGATAGCCATCGTATTTGATCATTTCTTCGTCCTCTCTAGGCAGTTATGAAATACCTGTGCAATCTACCTGACAAAGATGTGAGTTGCAAATGTCATGAAAACTTTCATTTCTCACAAATTTTTTTATCAAATATACGACATAGACTATTCCTTAGGTCAATTGACTGGATTGTTCTCTGCAAGCACTTCATACATGGCTTGTAATCTTTCTCCATTGACAGCCAACTGCTTCCATCAAATTTCGGTAGAATATGAACTCGATTTAAAATTTATGAAGCTATTTCCGCTGTCGTAATTTAATTCCAGGGTTTCGGTTCTACATTCCAAAACACAGTTTTCTCATTCTCCGGGTAGCTGAATGCTTAAACAGTATCCTTAGGTTTGGCTAGACTTTTATTGCATTTGAATCGTTTGTCTACTTTTTCGGGATTAGTGAAGTAGAGTCTCTGTAAAATAGTTAATAAATGACCGTCCATACTCTATGGCTGCCGTATCAATTCAAAACCGCTGTATGTAGGCGGATTCCAGTACCCGAAAGTACCTGCAAAATTACTCATTTGGAGGTAAAAAGGAACCGAATTCATTTCCAATAATTTGCGCTTTTTGTTCTCCTCCGGAATTTTCCCTTAAAGTATTATCAAAAGTAGCAACTTTTCCGTGAAATCAGTACTACCGTTCCCTTTTGCGATTTTGAGGGTCAGTATCACCCATTTCTGGTAGCAAATAATGGTACAACAATATGATGCCAGCTTTCATTGCTTCGTTTTATCATCCACATCAAGTCTTTGCGTCCAGCTCAACCCCCTTCATGGTATCATCAGCCACGATACCCTCGAACCGAGGTATTTTTGCGCTGACAGACCGATTGGAAGCACCTATTTTTTCTCCGCAAAAAAATGCATTTGGGAAGTTGAACTCGTCGGCTATAAACGATTCTTCTTAAGTGCGCCCTCTAGGTCAAAAGAAACTAAAGGGTCTTTGATTAAAGCCAAATAAACACTGAAATACAAATTTTTAATGAATTGTCTCAACTAGTTGAGGGACAAAAGTTGTGGTAAAGTGGCGTCTTTTTCTTACAGGGCAATGTGCGCCATTGGACGAGCTACTTCGATTATATAGTTGTTGACGCAAAGAAGCCGGTCTTCTTCCAAGAGGGAACACTGATGCGAGCCGTCGATATGGTAACTTATTTACCTTGCTCTATCAATGGGCAGTCAGTTTTGTAATACCAGCGCCCAAAATAGCTACACTTCCCGATTTCTAATTTGTCAAATGGCCCAAAGTAATCTAAGGGGTAGCTCCACCAAGAAGCAACAAAAACCTCTGTCGGGAATACGTTATTTGCAAATATTTACTAAAATTTGTATAATTTGTTGGAATTATGTTAAAAATCTATGACTGCATGAACACATATTCCATATTATTTCATTTTTAGTTTTGAAGAATACAGTTTTCCATGCTTTTATAAAGGTTAGAAAAGAAAGTAGTTTCGGTGGAATTCTACTGCGGTGTAGAAGGGGAAGGAAGTAAGACGTTTATTCAAGCCATTTCTAGTCGTCTCATTCATTTTAATTTGACTGAGACAGTAATAGTTAGAAAGTGAATTGAAAGTCGCAAGCGTCAATGTGTGGTCACCTACACAAGAAGAACGCAAGTAGTCATTCCTGCTTTGAAATTCAGCGACCTCAATTCAAAAATTGGGTTGATTAAGCTAAAAGTTGCCTAAGTTTACTTCTGCACTACGTATGCGTTATCGTCAGATCAAAATGCTGAGGGGGCAAAACAATAGCGCCGCTTTTGGCATCACCCTTTGTAGTTTAGACGTAATCCCTTTTTTTAGAGTACTGGGCGATATAAAATGGGACAGATTGCAGGACCGCTTGAACGAAGCAAAATCTACGCTGGAGGTAAGAAAATAACGCGATAAGTCCGCAATTTCCAATACTCTTGACAAGAATACAACCCGTTTTGGCATTGTCTGAAATTTAGTCCTAGGTAGACATGTTAGGAGAGGATTCTCCCTTAATTCTAAATCCATTTGCAATAAATTTTAAAGACACAATTTAAAAGGTTCCTATTATTATATCCTTCTGCTTGGATAGTGTTGAATAAGCTGACGATGTCAGCAATCATGCAACCTTCCAATGATCTATTCGAGTTGGCGACCCTTTTGTGTGCCTTCCTTGACCACCAAATGTGTGGCCCTAAAATTTTCTTACCACAACATCTTTCAACCTCTTTTGCCGTCTGCTATCCTTTGTAGTTCTCAATCTTGGGGTGAAAAGCCAGTAGGAAAAAAGTCGGCTGGTATGATCCATAGCTTTTTAATTTTTCCGATGACCTGCACATAAATGTTCAGTGTTTTGTCCACTTATTAATCTATTGTTCAAGAACTGCGGAAATGCCATCATCCATAGACCGAGTCTATCCTGCACCTACTTGGGTGTTTCAAAGTTGACCCGTATTTATAGAACTAGGCTTAGAAGAGTCAAGAGTTGTTAATGTAGCGCCTCGAGTCTTCCCTGAAGACGAAAGAAGTCATTATACTAGGAGAGAGTACTCATTGCCGATATGAGGAGGGCTGGAGGGCTACTGATATGGCCCAGAGGCCATGCCGCCCGGCGGAAGTACGAGGACGGTGCCTTAAGTACCCGCGCGTCCAAAACAAAGGTTTCTTCAAAAAGGGGGGGGGGGAACTAAAACCGCTAATTTTGAATTTTGGCTATTTTCTCTACAGCTGTTGCCTGCCTCTTAACGTTAGAGCCAAAAATACCTTTGAGAACTAAGTATTTCACCAGTTACTCGGTGTTTGTTCCAAAGGTACTTAAAGTAGCACTAAAAACTGTTTTAAAATACGAGGCGGTCTTTTGACGAGAACGCTTTCAAAAACTGCACTCTTTAAAATAAGACGCAGGCGTATATATTTTGTGAGAAAACCATACTGATAGAACTTTCAGTTGGTTTATTTCCTATGAAAAATACTGTATTAAAGTCTATAAAACCAAATCAAAGCGGTATTAGTCGCTTGGAGAGAATTAAAAACTCCCTTTTATTCATCTAAGTTTACCATTTGTTGGAGTGATTATTAGATGTGATGTGCTCAATTTGCTACGAAGAGGATAGTCCCATCCCTAGTAGTCTCCTACTATCATGTCCACCCGTACGCATCATGACTAAACAACAGCGGCACTTTTTACCCTTTTTATTTGTGTCCAAGGTGGCTTTTATTTACCATTTGCAATACGTCTATCTGACGCTGGGTATCTGTTAAAGGGATTTACAAAACCCTCTTCTTCGAGTGTTTTTTTATCGTCAAAGTTTCTTTTACCTTTGTTGTCAGGGTATCAGAGGGGGCAGAGAAGGTGGTTTTGGGTGAGGACACTTTTCTTCTCTTTATCATTGATATCGTCTTTAGCTGAGTTTTTTTAATTTTACTACTAGAGCTTGGTAACTTAACTTCAATATTTACAAGTATCTTTATTATTTATTTTCTAAGGTAAAAGAGATCACCTTAACACAAGTAGAGGATATATGCGAGAGTTTGCATTGAGGAAAATTTATTGTAGCTACTTGTAGTGCCTTATAAGTAGCTGCAAGTGGTCTTCGCATGTTTCGTAGCTTACAAAAAAAGCAAGACAAAAACAATAAGTGTTAATGGGGGTTCTTTTTTTCGTTTCTATGCAACACGAAGTGTCTTAAAATCTGCTGCTATCTATTTATACATACGACAGGGAAAAAAAGAAGAGACCATTGAACAACTTTAAAAGCGCCCACGCGTCTTTTCATCCACTTTGCATTCATCCTATTCATGACGTCCTTATACGCAAAAATCAACGGATCTTGGATCAGTGTTGGCATGTGTGTTAGTGATGTCGACAATTATTTTCCTCCTGTTTCGCCCCCTCAAAACATCAGGAAAAAATCAAGTGGTGGACTCTATGAATGGTATATCTTAAGTGCCCGCTAGTGTGCATGTGTGTATGTAAAATGCATGAAAGACAAAAAAACCAAAATGAAAGTGCCCTTATTACGGCGTTGCAATGACAATAAAGCGTATTGTGACACTGATGACGCAAAGGTTTAAAAGGTGGAGGTTTCCAAGGAAGCACTCAACATTCGAATTATACAAGGCAGTCTTATCAAATTCACTTCATTCCGTCAGGCTACTCTAAAAGTAAACTACTTTGGCACTTTAAACTAGAAGAAATCACATGAAGGAAATGTGGTCAGTAATGTGAGACAACATACGCACTCTTAGGTAACTCAGTGACTTTCGTTATTTATTGGACAATTCACATTTTGCTGTTCCATAGAGATCCTTTCCTACTGTAGGAAATTTCCATCTTCAAGAATGCTTGTCAAGTTTGGAAAATTAATGAGTAACACCTTCTCTGGCAGTCGTTTAGACATCCACTTGAAGTGAAGCCTTTACAAGCTCAAAAATCCCCTTCACTTTTTCTGCAACCTCTACCTGGTATTCTTTCCAATCCTTGAATAGTTTCTCCAATTTATGTTGGGAGTGTTCCGCCTCTCTTACATCAGTAGGGCTATTTTGGAGTGTTTAAGGTCACTCGTGAGTAAATACAGGAGAGAGGACATCATCCTCATACAAGTGCTTTTTTTATTCCTCTAGCATTCCTTTTCAAAATAGCAGCGTAGCAGAATGCTTTTTCTGTTAATCCATAGGATTTGCAACGCCTATGATTGCCTCCAAGATCAGAGAGCTTTATTGACAAAACTAGCTAAATGGTTTATTCCGGTTAAATCGACTGCTACACCTTTAAAATAAGGTGTAAGAGTGAGAAAGCCCTTTCCAAATGTATATTAGTACAAAAGTGGAATCAGTTAAATAGTCTTACTTCCATTCCTGCAGTATTTTTATCAAAATAGGCTAACCCAGCTTTATTCTGCCCCCACCCCTCCCCCACAGGGTCCAGTGCCACCTTCACCCACCTCATCGGTGCCCAGGGGAAGGACGTCCTCTATACCGGTGATCACATTTTCGGTGACATTCTTAAGTCCAAGCGTCAGGTAGGCTGGAAGACCTTCCTCGTAGTGCCGGAGCTGCTGAACGAAATCTATGTGTGGAAGAAGAAGAACTCCCTCTTTGAACGTCTCAATGAATTGGACAATGAATTGGCCGATAAGTACAAGTATGGCCACCTCTGTACTTCGTAGATGAACTTATTACGTGAAGTGGGAGCCCATTCATAAGGATAATTCCACGAGCCTAAAAGCCATTCCAAACAGTCTTTTCATTTCCTTATCAAGCCCAACTGCTCCCTACCTAACAAGAAAAACCGCATTTTAACGCTGTGGTGATACGCATTTGAGTAGAGCAATCCACTTGGTAATTCGGATGATTTCTTTTTCCGTTCTTGGTTGTTTCCAATGTCCTAACTACCATCCACTTTGCTACTTTAACTGCTCACCGTGCTTTTACGGCTCGCATAGAAGGTTCATTTTGGAAATTAACGTCACCAGTTGAAGCAAAAGTTCCCACTTAAACTGTCGACAAGACGTGACAAATGTGGGCTGTATTGTGACAGACAAATCTGTGTTATCACAAAAGTGATTTGGAGGTGGACGAAATGGCGATGGAGATGACAGCAGAGGAGTCAACAGAGGCTGAAGCTAAAGACGCCCGTTCTCTCTCTCGCGGGACTGAGGGCCATCAGGCTGCACCTCACCCCCTTTGCCTGAGTGCAATCCTTCTGGAAAATACTTTTTGTCTTGCTCTGGTAGAAAGTAGAAAACATTTGCGCTTTATTCACTACCCATTGTTTAACTTGAACAGCGGTATGTGAGCTTGCAACAGGGTTGATTGTTTACGTGCTGGTGTACAAGCACAAGACAGTCTATAGGAGGACGGATTCCGGTCAAGTTATGCTCCACTCCCATGTCTTTTCAGGGATTTGAATATCGCCTCCAGCTCAAAACCGGATGTTTCACAGTTACATAAGGAAATCCGGGTAAGTCAGGCTTCATCTTCTCACCTCATCCTCAATCCGAATTCATTATCTAAATTCCCAAATTAACAGAGTAACTGCTTCATTTGCCCGCTATGGTAAGCGTATTTCAATCTTCTTGAAAGTAGTAATTAAATATTTTCGGTTCGACATTAATTTGTGGGGGCAAGTATTTGCACATTTTTCACCGCGCAAGCGGGTAGCTTTTTTAAGCATCCGAGGAATACAGAAAAAATTTGGTTTGCTCTATATGTTATTCAACTTTGGAAAAAAACGGAAAGAAATTAGTTTCTTTAACGAGATTTAAGGGAATTCCAGGCAGTGGTTGAATTTGCATAAAGTAATTGACAAATGCTATCTTAACTTTGAAAGTTGCATGTTCTCTAAGTAAAAATATGAGATGTGTTGAAATCTGGCGGTTTGCATAGTGGACTTTACACAGTATTCCATGCACAAAAAAGTGGGAGATTTTGAAACTCTTTGATGGTTATCTGAGCAGTTAAAAGTGCTTGTGAAATTGCCAAGTCGGAGCAAAATAATGACCTGTTGTTACCCATAAGGACCTGTCAAGTGCACGCAAATGAGTATATTTTTACCGGTACAGTGCTTTCTCCAATTGTCTGCCTCTTTTGAAGACTCCTGCGTGAAGTGTTGGTTGAGCCTGATGGCAATGAGTCAGGTTTGTCGGATTTACGAAATGAATTAGACTTGCGCCCAACGCTCTGGTTGGCAATTTCTCATCGCATTCCTTGTATGGCATTTGGAGGAGGTGTGGTGTGTGGTAGCAGAATGTACTGACAAGAAATGATTCCGAGAAATCACTTGATTCTGCTTGTGATGAATCACTCAGAGGCGTCACATTCACGAACACCTCCCCTCCTCCTCTCCTTTCCTTCCTTCCTTGTCAATAAGGCAGAGTCCCGTGTCGCTATTAGCGAAAGTGACTGGAGACTCAGGTGTCAAGACCTTCTGGTGGTCAGTGAAAGTGATAG